GCAGTCACCTTTAAAAATTCCTGGAAAATCTGCCAATGTCAGGAATTTCTTGAAATTTTCGACAGTGTTCTATCAGAGTCTCGCCTACAACCGCCCAAAATTCGTTTAGCAGCAAAGTTATAGTTTGGATTTTCTGATTTTTTCAAAGAGAGTGACCGCATTAAAGTTTGGATTTCTTTACATCAAAGTTCAAAATTTTTCAAAAATTCAGCAGTAACTGGAATCCACTGAATTTTTGCACACACTACAACTGAAGCCTCCTTTATACAGGGGCCCAATTGCAAGAGTTTGGCGTGCTCAGTTTGGAACTTATGAATTTTCGAACCTATGAAGTCTTCAAATGCACATCTTGCACTTTTTGGCAATCTCCGATGAGTTTGAACGAATTTTAAAATCTGATGATGGCTCTGTGGTCTCGCCGAAACGTAACCAAATAGAGGATATACAAAAAAATTAGTTTCACACTGTGACTGGAGCCCAGGGAAGAAAATAATATAATAACGTTTCCCTAATCTGTTCCAAACGCTTAATAACTGGGTAGGATCGGACCGCACTAAACCAGGGCGTCCTAAAAGTCAATTAATTTTGAAACACTCGGTACTAATAATGCAGACGCAATCCGACTCAGACGCCAACATCAATGGGAGTTTTTGCCTGCACACGTTAAACATCTGAAAGTGGTACTGGGAGAGTGTCAATCTGAGCTTTTGATCAGTTTTACCACATGGAAGTTTTCGATGGAAAACAAACCCCAATATGAAGTAGGCGAAGTTGGTGGTGGTTGGTAAATAGAGTCGATGTGCATCGGCCCCGATAGGAGCTACTTAAGTAGGAACCCGAATTTTTGTATTCGGGTAATATTTTGTATTCGAATCAGTAGAATTTGTGGTTTTACCGAAAGTACGACGATGCAAAAACGGATAACCAGTGCTGTACCCGCGCCCCCTTTCTACCTGACTACGAGAAGAGGCAAGGCTGTTCAACATCTTGGGAGCCAAGAAAGCGCAATCGAGCTCTCAGTCGTGCAGTATTTCCTTCGATTGAAAGGCCCGGAGTGTTAAGCGGGTGTTTTTCGTCGCATTTTCACTTTTCCACTGTGCCCCCAAGCACCATGTGCATGTGTGAGACAAGCAGCAAACATTGAGCAACAACATGTACGTGACCGATCCTGCATGGGCTGGTGAGCAACGTTTGTTTCTTTTTCTGTTTTGTTTTCGAAATCGAACGACGCATTTCGGGTCGACGGAAACCGTATAAATATTCTGTTTTTAAACAAAATATTCTATATTTTGTCGGATAAATATTCTACTAGGGGCCTTTTTGGTGGCACACAAGTGCCATATGGTCAAGGAGTGGGCAAATGTTGCTTAGTAGGTACCACCAAAGGCGTTCAAGTGGGCGCACTTGTTTCTCTTCTTGGGTTGCTTGCTCTATCCCGTTTCTCTCCCATTTCTCCAAGAGTCTTTAATACTGGAGAGTTTAACTAGGTTTAACTCGTTTTCATTCGACTAGATCCAATACGATCCAACAGGTGTGGCGCTGATTATGTTTTTTGACGTGATAACTTTTATGGGAGGGTGAACCGCACATATGCACTTTGAATTCGACATTTTTCTCTTAGTGCGGGTGCATCTGTAGAGCTGATAAACTTTTCAAATACACATTGCGTTATTAAACTGACAGAGATTTTGATTTATCAATTATTGAGTGTGATATTATTGTGTTCGGCGCAGTTTATTTTATAACGCTGATCACAATGAATCAACAAATTGTCAAGGGAGAAGCTGCAGATACTGCAAATACTCGGTTAAGGGTGCTCATGTACTAAATGCCTGTTCGAGTTTTGCCTTCTTTTAAATTTTCAATTAAAGTACACACACAGTTATACACACTAAAGCAGTTTAAGTGCAAAAAAATGCGGATTGTCCATCAATTTGCAGAAAAATGCATTACAAACTTTTGATAATCGTCTTCAAACGACCGGGTATTTATCGTTGCAAATGAGATTGCACATTGCCGTGTACTGTTAAATATTGTTTTAAGAACTAACAAGCGATGTTGTGCAACAAAAATTGTGCTTAAAGTTTTTGAAAAACGGTTGGACCTATTTTAAATCGCCTGATTGATTGTGGACGCAAATTCGTATCAAGAAAACATTAAATTAAATTAAATCGTATCGATACAATCCGCCTGTAGTCCTGATGCTGCCCTGATGATGTCCATTTGCATTGTATTGCACGATTCGGTAAAATATTACCTACTTGTTTAGTGATTTTCATCGCAGACAATTGTTAAACCAGATGTTGAGTAAATATTTTCGAAAGAAGGCATGGTCAATTTATTAAAAACGCTCAAGATTAAGTGCAAATAAAGTGTCACAACTATTATTAATAACTTTTAATGCAATGATATGTTCTATTATTTGTTATTTTATTTTGTAACAACAAATTATCAATATTTAGATATCTATTTTTTAATCTCTCATATTTAACATAAAATGATAAACATCATTACTGTTTTGTAATAATATATAATAAATATGTTTGAATTTAATTGAAAAAATATTTGAGTTTACCTCGGTTATTTCAGAAAACAT